AACCCCTCCCTGACCCACAGACCCCTCCCTGACCCACAGACCCCTCCCCGACGAGACATTTCAACAGCACAACGGCAAAAGTCATGCTTTGGGTACTCGCACAGGGCGCGCCTCTCGCCAGTGTAGATGTTATAAAATGTTCACTTTTTAAAAACCGTATTTGTCACATGCGCTGGCGGGTGGGTCTGTCACAGATAACAGARCGAGGGGGAGGATGGGGGAGAGGAGTGGTGAACTCAACTTTATCTGACTTGTTTAATTTTATTTCTTGTTTTTATTGGTGCAGTTGTGATCTAAAAAGGAAAGATGCGCAGAAACGTGCGTACGCACGGTTTTATAAATCTGAATTTTTTTGGCGTACGCCATTTTTGCCTTTTGGCCGTATGTTCACTTTTAGTATGGTTTCCACGCAATCCGTTATAAATCTGACGTCTGGTGATATATTTAACATTTAGAAGCTGTCAGAACGTAACAAAGCGTGCCAATTTTGAGCTATTTGGCTTTCCGTACCTCCACCTCTGTCTGTCCTCTGCAGCTGTGAATCACCAGGATGGTAAAGCTTTTGAGTGCTTTGATCAGTGATTTTCAAACATTTTAGCTTCCAGCCCACAAAATAACAGTTGTAGAAACGTGTGACCCCAGATCTTACCTCTTTATGTTTGAAAACTGCTAATCACTCTGTTGAAAATTAGCATAAAAACAATTTAAACTAACTTTTTTTTATTTAGTTATTGTTTTTTTCCCCCCAGTAATTATGGTGAAGATTTTCCTTTAACAATTTATTTGTATTTAAATTGACRTCTGGAAATCATCTCATGTTTCATGACCCACAGAGGGGTCCCGACCCCAACTTTAGGAACCACTGCTCCTTTTCTGTTGTGGCGGCGGCAGCAAAAAGCTATTTAAACAAAGCAATAAAAAGATAAAATGTCGCCTACTCCTAGATAGGTTGAAGTGTGATTAAATATTTTTTATTAAACGCAGCTGTCTCTGACATCTGTGCTGTGATGGTTTGGTATGAACATCTGTATAAATACACCACTAATAAATATGAACTGTTTCTTTTCTAAATCTTAAAAATTGACCCCCAAAAAAGACTTTTCTCTCAAACTGAAGTATTGCTGCCTCAGCATTTGGAGCTTATTGCTGAGTAATAATGATGAACCATTACTCTGTGATGAGTTATTCAGTACAAATTTACATTGACGTAAAGTACTGTGGGTTTTGACAAATCGAATTTGTTTGCTTTGTAGCAGATTGTACAAAAACTGTTCTGAACTGTTTATTCTTCTTCCAATGATCCAGTATTTATGTCACAACATTATGTAATCAATCATGTAAAGTGAACTATTTTAACTCTACTAAAAAGGTTTTTGTTTTTCAGTTTGAGTGATTTTTTTATACAGTTACTGAGTAAAGAATAACCAGTTAAATGCAACTAAATGTATTCATTTGTAATTTGTTTTTTTATTTGTTTGTTTGTTTGTTTGTTTGTTTTTGTTGTAGCCTGTTGAAGATATGGAAGAATGCACTTGTCCAACATCTACTTCACCAGGTACATCACTGTATTAATTAATTAGTTTTTAATTCTTTTTTTTTTCTCAAAACAGAGACGATGACATTAATTTTTTACAAAAAAAAAAAAACAATCTGGTCTTTTCTATAGAGCTCTGTAATCAGGAGCAGGTTCAACAAAACGGGGAAGCAATCAGGCTACTTCGGATTTTTTTTTTTATATATATAAAACGTTTTGCACCTCCCATCCATGTGAAATCAGGGTTTTTGGTGAGATTTTGAAGAAGGTTTACCAAATTGGAGATTTAAAAAAAAATTCTGGTGCATCTTCATGTGGATTGGACAAATGCTSAGATTTAAGAAACAAGCACAAAGCAGATTATTTCATGTCCAGTTATTTMTTTTTTGCAGCTGAGAATAGTCTGTTTATTATCATCGTCATCATATGACTAAAGGTTTAAAAAGTGCCATCTGGCTGATGCATCGTCCATGAAAATAGAAAAGAATTCATGAATTAAATAAAAAAATACAATCAGAAATAAAACATCATACACTCACAGTCTTATTACCCCTGAGGTTAKATTATTACCTGTGTTTAGTGAAGCTGCTATAGGATGAAGTCACTTTGTCCTTGTTCAGGGTGGAGGTGTGTTTTGTGACATTGTGGGGCTCTTTCAGACAGCTGGGACTGTGTAGTTCTTCCTGTGGGAGGAGGGGGGCAGCCCACAACCCTTTGGAGGGCTTTTCCCTGAGACACAGCTGATGCATCACACTCACATGGTAGATTTAAATAAAATAAAAAAATTTAAAAACTGTAGTTTCTGGGGGGATATTTTTGCCTGAGCACCTCAGGAAATGCAGACTCTATTGAGCGTTTTTCAGCAGCTCAGATGTTCTGTTGCACTTGATCTGGATCATCAACACTTTGATCATGGGATGAAATTGTCATCAACTGTCAGGAAACTTTRAACATTATTAACTTGATAAAATAAAAAGGATAATTAGGAAAGTCTTTACCCTGTGTAAGGTTTTCTCCATATTAGGACAGGTTTTAAAGGCGGATGTCTCCATCTAGTGGTGAAGCATTGGTATTGCATTATTATTATATTATCATTATTATTATTATTATTTGTGTGAACAAAAATACTATAAAAGCAAAAAAGAAGTAAACAAAACAAATTAGTATTGGCAACATCTGTTTTTTTCTGTTTTTGTAAAATCAAATTGATTGTATTTGTTTTCTAGTTATTTTTTTATGATCTTAATCTTGAACGTGAAAAGGGGATTACTTTTTTGTCGTGACTTTCAGTCTGATAGTGTTATGATTTAARMACATTATTTTTCATTTACTAAAATCTATATTATTTTATTTATTTATTATTATTTTTTGTCTGTTTTGTGTTCAGACTGCCCCAAACAGCTGCAGATCCTGACCAGCCCGTGTGAAAAATGCTTCTGTCCAGCCCCGCCTCCCAAAATCAGCGACCTCATGAACGACAACGACCTGCTGGACTTGCTGCGGCTAAAGCTGGACCCGAACCACTGCACCATCAAAAACTGGAAAAACTTTGCGAGCCGCTGGGGGATGTCGTAYGACGAACTGACCCTGCTGGAGCACCGGACCCAGGGCTCCCTGTCTCACAGCCCCACGCTGGAGTTCCTGCTGCGCTACAACCAGAAGACGGTCACRGAGCTGACCGAACTGTGCCGCTTCTATCAGCGCATCGATGTGCTGCGGCTGCTGCAGAGCTGGATCGAGAAGGACTGGCCATCACGCTGGCAGCAGACTCACTAACCTCTTCAAATCTGTACACTTTAAGTTTTGGTTTGGTTTTTCCTGCCAGGGGTTACATGCGTCGGATTTCTTCTCTTTCATGACTTTGAATTGAATGTTTAGTGAGCTGATAAACAAGAGTGAACTGGAAACTGTGTACATATTTTTCAAATAGTTTTGATCTTTTTTAACATTGTGCCTTACTACTTAGAGTTGCAGCTCAGATTTATGGTAAATTCAAGGAGCAAAAATGTTCCTACCCATCACCTCATGCAGTCAATGGCTGCATTCAAACCCTTCTCTGTGATTTTTTGGTCAGACTTTGTGTGACCCTGTTCAAAAAACTTTTCATTCACTCTGTACCAGCAATGAAGAATGAACTGGACCTGTAAATTTTACACACCATCACAGAAAAACTTTTTTTTTCTATCAACAAAACATCAACACTTGTGTCAGTTRTGAGAGCAAAGCGAGTCGAGATGCAGGAACGGTTAATAATTTTCAGACAGTTCTTCAGCAGAGCTGCAGCAACCGTGTGGGAACAAAGTAGGAACAGTTAGGTTAAAGACTGACAAATGTCACTCACTGATGTTCACTTGAATATTAAATCCATTCTTCTGTTCGTAGAAATAATCATTTTCAGTGTTTGTTTTTGCAACTAAAGTTCTCAGAACCTTTCCTGTTAAACTCATCCTCGTGTCACAGCAAATAAACTGACGGTTGAAAGCTCCAAACGTCCAGACGCTGGGGATCCTTTTATTTTTTTTAACCAAGTTTGGGGTTTTTTTCGATCATTTTCTAAAAACCATGGATAATTTCATGACACACTAGCAAGTCTAAAGTACGAACACATAGTACTAGTCCACGTGTCCCGCCTACTCCCTCATGTTACTTGACTTTTAAGTGTGAAATGAGTGATGAAAATGAAGATTTGAGCGTACACCAGCAAAGTAAGAACCGCATGGAGCCGCAAGTGTTGACGTCTGAAAAGAAGCGTCAAGGATCAAAATATCCTGCACATTTAAAAAGAAAACTTTTCTGAAACTTGCCTTGTGGAGGAGTTATAAGTGTCTTTGTTCATGAGTGAGTCTTCAGGGCATTGCTTCGGTCTGTTGTGAAGAAAGAGCAGAGTTGAAAGGCAAAGCTGTGGATTTACTGGTCTGGCTACGTTCCAACCCTCGCCTGTGGTCTTGAGGCGTGGATCATGACCAGAAGAACCAGATCCTGGATACAAGCAGCCGAAGGGAGCTTCCTATAGGATGTCTGAGAGGGGGAGGAGCTCTGTCATGCAGCAGGTGGAGATAAGAGTTTATTTCTTCAGTTAAAAACTGCAAACTTTAGGAATACAGAGTGATGTTTACTTTTACAGCTGTTGAGTTTTGGTCTATTTAATTACATTTCAATGGTAATATTTTTGTATCTGATTAGTAGAATAAAATTATTAGTGGTTCATAATTCTGTCTGAATGCAATTAAAACTAGTGTAAAACAAAATCTATGCTTGATGTATTTTATTRTGACTTCAAAAAACACGGATTGAGCAAACATCTCTTAATGTCAGGATGATTTAGAGAAAAGCCCCCAAGTGGTCAAAAGCAACAAAATCCTTTACTTTTTATTTATCAGAACACCCTGAAATAATGACATTTACTTTTAAATTTCTGCCAGCATCAATATTGGCTTTTCTTTTTTACTATTTATAACTAACTTTCTGATAAGTGAATTAGAAATTTAAAAAATGGTGTTAGAAAATATATTCTGTAAAAAGAAAAGTTTTCATATTTCAAAAATAAAAGATTGAGTCAAACGAAACAACAAATGCACCTTTAACTAAATTTACATTTTAACATTTCAGGACTCAATCATCCCTGAACCGCTGTGTGTAAAATCAACTATAATCTGCAAATTCTTATTTTTCTTTTTTGTAGCAGCCTGTTTCACACATCTACCATCACGTCTGTTCTCTGGAAACTGGAGCGGATTTTACTGCATTTTCTACACGTCTCACTTCAGTTCTTAAAACAAACGCCTAAAAAATGTCCAAGTTAGCAAATGTCRTTTACAGAAACTTTATTTTAAACAGCACGTTCCATACACAGGACATAAACATAAAATAAAAGATAAATGCTACGTTTGTACACAAAGTTTATTTCTTTCAATAAGTTCAATTCATGTCATTCATGGCTAAAAAAGAAAAAGTTTCAGACATCTGATAGAAAAAGTGATACGTTAGATTATAAATCAGTGTGAGACACGATCAAAGAAATCTGCTCAGGGGAATTTAGTGTTTTGGCATCAGGCCCTCCATGACCCCACCTTCTAATTATTATTATTATATTTTAGCCATGTGTGACCCATCATGTCAAATCAGGGATTAAGTCATATTTGATCAAACTAAGCATATTTTCAGACTCCTGGCTTATTAAATTACACTTTGATACCTAAATCATCCTGATTTTATGAGCGGATCAGAGATTTGTTTGGCTGATCAGGATAACTCTAGGAAAACTTTATTTTGTCTGTTTCCAATTGTAACTWATTTCTTTACAGCCATGTGTGCAGTTTTCTGACAGATTGTATTCAGCAGACTTAATGTTGTGTAAAGAAGGCTGAAAGAATTTCCTCACTGTTTAACCCATCTTCACCTCGGTGAGCACCTTTTTCCTACTTYCCTAAAATGCAGTAATAAAAGAACATAATCTTGATTGGTCGATGAACCAGGATATATTTCTTTTTCCCCGTTAATCATCTGCATCCATTTTAATTTCATTATTATTCATTGCTGTTAACTGAAACAGGCTCTCCTTACAGTGAAGCCATCATCCTCACCTGACMGCAGCTTCAAAGTGCTTCAAGTAAAGGCACTTCCCATTTGGCAGCTTGATGAAATATAATATATTTAAATATAATCACACCACACTGCAATCACTAATTATTCTTTTAGATATCAATAACAGTACTGCTCTTTGTAAAAATAAAACATAAATAAAATACAAGAGTTTCACAACATCATTTATTAAGATGTTTAACTCAAAACCTCAGAGGCTAATTTATTGTTTGACTAGACTGAATCTATATTCCATATTTGTATTAAGTCAAAATAATAGAAAAATAATAATAACCTAATAAATTCGAAATAAATATTTAACCAATCTTGGHAGTTATGTTTAATGTAATGAATGCTGGAAATGTTATAACATTCGATTTTATGCTCAAAGTTATTTTAGATAACAAAAACTAAATATCTTAAGAGCTAACATGTTCATTCTGACGAGGAAATGAAATGTATTTACCTGCTCCAAACATCTTGTCTAAATATTATATGATAGATCAGCTTGCCATACTTTCCAGCAGTGTGGCGCTTTTGACAGATGGATASTTTTGTCTGCACAACACCAGTTGGTGGCAGCAATAGGTAGCTTAATTAGCGTTAGCAATGCTAACCCAGGTGCTCTTGTAGGCAGCCTCGTGTGTTTTGTGCAGTTAATAGCTTAAGTTAAAAAGTCTTTCATTTTTGATTGTTTTCCAAATGCTTTCCACTTTCTTTTTTTGCATTACCTGAGCAGTTTCGCTCATGCTAACATTTTGTACCAACACTGGAACTGTCTGGTAGGGCAGTGTGCAAGGGATGTAATTTATCTATTCAGCATTTTGACATGTTTTTGTTCTGCATCTTTAGATTTATCATATTTACCAGAAAAAAAGGCCCAATAAATCCATGCTGTAGCTTTGTTAGGCTTTTATGAGCTCTCCTAGTACCTTGAGGACTATGTCAACATTTTCAGAATGTTTGTTTGCTTTTTAGTCCACTCAAAACATCCTAAACTCACAGTCAGGAATGAAACACCGTCTGTTTCCAGGAAGTCTCACCTGTGGGTGCTTTTCATGTGTGAGAACAAGTGGCTGCTTTGGCTGAATCTTTTAGCGCAGAGTTTGCAGGAGTAAGGTCTTTCACCTGTGTGAGTTCTCATGTGATACAGCAGGCTTGTCCTGGATCCTAAACTTTTCCCACATCTGTTGCAGCCAAATGGCTTCTCGCCCCTGTGAGTTGAAATGTGCGTGTTCAAGGTGCCGGGAGAAACGAACCCCTTTCCGCATTCTTCACAATGATATGGTTTTTCGCCTGTGTGAATTCTCATATGACCAGTCAAATGATTACTCTGACTGAATCGTTTTGCACAGATTTGACAGGAATAGGGTTTTTCGCCTGTGTGAGTTCTCATGTGATACATCAGGCTGGTGCTGGATCGCAAACTTTTCCCGCACACGTTACAGGAATATGGCTTCTCATTAGTGTGGGTCCTCATGTGAGTCCTCAAGGCCCCTGTTTGAATGAAACCTTTTCCACATTCTTTACAGGAATGTGGCTTTTCACCTGTGTGGATTCTCATATGATAAGTCAAACTGTTACTCTGAGTGAAACTTTTATGACAGACGGTACAAGTAAATGGTTTCTCACCTGTGTGAGTTCTCATGTGACGCAACAAGTGACTATTCAGTCCAAATTTGTCCCCACAGATCTGACAGGTATACGGTCTCTCGCCTGTGTGAGTTATCATGTGGCGTAACAAGCTGCCACGTCGACCGAAACTTTTCAAACACGTTTCACAACTAAAGGGTTTCTCTTCTTGGTGAGTTTTCTGGTGAAAAGTAATTGATGGCAAGTCGGAGAATCTTTTCCCACAAGTGTTGCAAGCGTACGGTTTTGTCTCATCCATGTCTAAACTTGATTCTTCTCTTAACGGTGAGGAGGCAGGGCTGTGAGAGAGGACCTGGGTGCTGGTTGGTTCTGATTTGCCACTGTCACTTTCATCATAACTAATAAGGAGAACATCGGTTTCCTCCTTCAGAACCACCTGCTCCTCATCCTGACTGTCACAAAAATCTTCTGGTTCCTCTTTGATTTGTAGACGTTCTGGTTCCTCCTGGTCCTCTTTGTTCTGCTGTACAACTCTAGTCTGAACCTCCTGGTCATGAAGCTGTTGGTTGTTCAGAAGGTTGTCCTCCTCAGTGAGATGCTGCTGTGGGGCGTCTGAGAAGGATAAAGTGAATGGACATATTGTTGAAAATAATAATAATTGCATTGTTTCCTCCTGTGTATTATAGACCTGGTGGGCCACCGGGTGTTACTTGCCCCACCCCCCAATACAAATTATTCCTACTCCCCTTTCACTGTTGTACTGTGGAGAACTTTTAGGGAAGTATGGATCTCTGTAGTACATTGGTGGGGATTTTCTTGGCTGTGTGGGCGGAGTTTGTCCAACCGTGATTGGTTGGACTGACTTGTCTTGTACAGTTGAAAGATGAAGTAATGGTAAAATTATTGTGAAAATGTGAGTCTAAATTTATTTACATAATCATTTATTATTCATCTCTCAGAGAYCCCCTGTCCTTTTAGGCATTAAAAGTTAATATCTATATATTTCTATATACTTTTGCATCAAAAAATAACATTTTATTCTTTTCATCTGTTTTTCAAATTTCTGTTTTGTTGTTATTTTATAAACATGTCCAGTTTAATAATGTGTGAGAAATTCACCTTTTTTTTTTGTTTGTTTAGTCAGTTTTTAATACAGGCGGCAAAATAAATTGTTCAAATGTTTTGAGATGCTTCTTTTTTAAGTCAGCATATTATAAAAGATTAACCCTTCGTGTTATGAAAGTCCCTCTTGATACAAGAGGAAACTCAGGTTTTTAAGAAAATGGCAGCTTATTAATTAATCATTAGTTGATTGATAAGATCAATCAACTTTAGATTAATTCATTAATCGATAACTTGCATCCCTCCTTCAAACACTTCTTACAATGTTAGTTTAGAAAATGAAAATAATCCACACAATGACAGACGTTCATACCTGATTTGTTGAAAGTGTTCTGGGCCGGTCCGTGCCGACCGTCCAGGACCTCGATGAAGTGGACAGTGCTGCTTTCTGAAACTCCTGAGGTGTTTTCACAGCTGGATTCACCCTGACGCCTCGACGTGGACTCTGTATCCTTCTTTATGAGAAGATGCTCGACCTCCTGCCTGGTCCAGAATTCAACCTGGATGTCGGTCGTCTCTGACTGTTCTGGTTCTTTTTGGAMCTCTTTATTCCGTGGAGGCTGCTGGTCCATCGGAACCTCCTCCTCCTCTTTGTAAACATGTTGCTGCGGGGCCTCTGGTAGGGCTATGAGACATGAGGAAATAAAATCACATGTAGGAAAAGTAAAAGATATCGTCGTGTTTTTTTCTCAAAATGTTTTCTACAACCCAACTCTTTTTAAAAAGTGTTTTTAATTTTAACTCACTTTTTTCAGAATTCTCTCTTGCAATGTTTTTCTTCTATGTTTACCTACTTCTCTGCGTACACTTTTTAAAATTTCCAATTCAAATATACTTTCTTGTTCCCAGTGGGAAATTAGGTAAAGTAAATTGTTTGCAACCTTGGTTTCAAAAAGGGCTATTTAAATAAATATTTACACTATATATCATCATGTATTATGGTTCGGTTTTAAGTTAGTAAGTAAGTAAAATTTTATTTATAGAGCGCCTTTCACAGAAATGGAATTCACAAGGTGCTGTACAATAATCATTCATATAGAAAGAGTTGATTGGCAGCAGGTGCTGTACAATAATCRAACACAAAGAGAAAAACAGAAATACTTGACAACTGCATTACAAATGATGAAATTCCGGTCAATACATTCTCAAAGTTTTTGGAATAGTAAGGGGCATGGAATAACAGATAACAGAACAGATTTACAGATTTTTTTTTTCTAATTTAATTCTTAACTTTCAGGTCTGTATTTTCTAAGTACAGTGTCTACTTATGAAAAAGACAAACACTCACTTAAGTACAGGCAAAAATACAGTGGCAGGTGGTCATATTGTAGTAAAAATGGCTGTTTCCATCAAAAAAATGACCTGAGTTTAGTTTAAGTCCGTATCTTTATTTGCATACTCACATCATTTTTTTTTACAAATACTTTGATCTTCCTCCAAATTGATTTAAATATTGTATAATCCTAAAAATGCTGATTTAAAAACCTATTTGTCATCATCTTTAACGTTCTGATCAGCAGGGAGCAGCACTTTGAAGTCTCTACAAATGACCCATTCTCTAACACTAATCATATTATCTTYAGTTTTCACATCAATCTTCTAGTTCCCGTTTCTTCTACAAACTGTGGGTTTCACTGTGTCTGTGTTGTTAATTCATTCGTGTATAATAAAGATCTACTAGTGTCCAATTATTAATAAACGTAAAGAAATGATTGATTAGGACCATTTTGATCCCATTTCAGCGTTCCTTCACCCCACGCAGTCCTGTGATTCCTACCTGCTGTGTGGAAGTTTCTCTGCTCTCTCTTCTTGCATGTATCCAGCAGTCTGTGGTGACGGTCGATCTCTCTCTCGAACAGGACGATGGTTTTTTCAAACTCTGTGAATATTTCTTCGACAGCAGCAGTCAGCCGTTCTCTGATAAACTCCCTCAGGCGTTGAACTGAAGACATTATTACTGAGACTACTCAAATACCCAGCTATATAGGACAATAGGACAAAAAGCTAACGTTGCTGTTAGCTGCTACTTTACTTCCGTCGGGTCAAACCTTTAACTTCCGGTATGTATGGTTAGCTTTAGCCAAAGCTAACAGCTTGCTGATGAAGATTCTCATTTAGACAGTCGACGATAATCATGTAAAATATAAACGAAAGCAGTTGGACTCGTTTTAAATAAAAAAGTTTGCTTCTTATCCATGGAACTTTCTTAGTTTGCAGGATCTTGCCCGCTGCTGCGATACGACCTATCCGCCATGTTGGACAGGGCAGGCATGGAATGAGATGTGGCTAGAAAAAGATTTTAAACAGGTTTAGAGTTGTACAGAGGGGGATAGTGTATTGGTTTGGGAGTTTATTATCTACGTGGTGCAAAACCATGTTTTGTTTTATAGGAATCAGAAGCTTAATAAAAACAGGTTCTAGAGGTGGTCTCATAGGAACTACTAAAATCATAAAAAAGAAAAAAATTGTATAGGTCTTCTGGACGGGTTCGTCTCTAATGAAACGTTTCAT